GGTGCAGCACCCTGCACTTGTCCTTGTTGAACTGCATCCTCTTGTTCACCTTTAGGAATTCTTGTGATGTTTGCTTATAAATATAATGCCCCAATGTTCATAAGAGTTACTCCTATTATAGCTGCAGTCATTGACCTAAACTTTTCACTTTGAAATACATCAACTTCAGACATGCAAGTCTACTCTCTCTTTTACAGGCATGTTTTGTTGTTTGTTTTATACTTACTACCACAAAATAACGTATTTGAATTGGTGAACAGTTTTTCATTGGTATCAAGAAATCAGTGTTTGGCTTTGTTTTGTTAGAGGCTTTTGCTTTTTATAGAGAAGATCTTTCCCAGGTATCTTACTAAATGCTTGTCTAAATAGACCTACTACATAGTTGGGAGGGATATATAGAAAAGGTTTCTGAAATGTTCAGGCATCCTATGAGGAATTGGTAGGATTAGTCACTGAATTAAGAATTCATATGAGATCCCTTGATCCAAAGCATGGATTTAGTGACCTACAGGTCTTCCTTCCCCTGTTTTTCTAGGAAAATAAAAGATTGTTTGGGAAATGCTGAGACCAGATCTCGTTTGTTCTGGGGCAGTTTTTGACTCTTTACCTGTTATTTATGTAATATCTCTTGGTGTTTTGTCATTATCTTATCATATCCCAGCTTGTAAAAGGTCTGTGGAAGGAAAACAAATATGTATGTATACCCACGCTGTTTCATCTTCTGATCATTGTCATAAGGTATGGGATATAAAAGATGAAGCATTTTTACTACTCCCACTGGGATAAATATTGGTCTTAATCTTATTGCTTTTATATAGGATTCTGTTTAAGTCCATGGAAGTGCTACATTGATAAGGCCTTTTGGTTCAACTGCTGAGTTTGTGACTTGACTTCCTGCACTCCTCTGCATCTCTTAAATTAAGCTTTAGTTTAAGAGATGGAGGAACTTACCAACTATTTTTCTTTCTTGACAGCATATTGCCTTCAGGAAATGGCCTCTCCTAAATCTTTGCTGAGTCTCGTAACCTTCACTTTCGGGTCAACAATAGGATTTTTCTTATGCTATGTGCTATTTAGTATAGTGCTAGAAGAACAAATTGAGATCCATCCTCATGTTCTTCACAATGATCCTCACGGTGAGCACATAGAAGAAACTGGAAATAATCAGCTGGAGGGACAAATGAACTTCAATGCAGATGCTGGGCAGCATAAAGGTACTTTTGTTTTGTACAATATATATAGAGAGGGACAATTATGTAAAGCGGCACAGAAAAATGTTCAGGTTCTATATAATTTGGTTGCTAGGTATTTGCACATAGGGCTTTTTTGGTCCTTTACCTGCACCCAATATTTGAATTCAAGTGACCTTTCTTTCAGAAGGCCCTGGATGATGGGTTTTATTTACCAACTTACATTTTCTAAAGAGTAATTTTGCAGAGAGACCAACTACTTGCCATGTGTTTCATCTAGAATGGGTGGGGGACAGAGCAGTTCCTTTCCATATTTGCTAGCTTGAGCTTCCCACAAGGCCAAAACAAAAACTCTTATTGCCCAGCTGCCCTAATTATCAGTATGGCAAAGAGAGCTGGATTCCATTTCAGATTTAAAAAAAAAATTCTTGAATGCCTGTATTGTCTTCACATTTTTATTTTTTAATTTACATTGATGTCACAGCACTACAAGGAAGATTCTTTCAAATTAGTTATAATAAAAACGTTGAATTCAGATGCATTTTTGCAAATCTCTTGTTGTTTGTGAGATGATCTATATGTTGGCCAGTGCTAATATTGCCCACTTTTTCTTGTAAAACTAAGTAGGAATAATATTTGAAATGCTTCTCTTTTCTGAATTTAACTTCCATCTCACTAACCTAATAGAGTAGGGAGATGTATTACCTGGGCTTTTAGTGACTAACATTCAAATTGAGCTGTGGTTACATTGTTCTGTACCTAAAATAACAGCATTAGCAGCAGTGACAGCAAAGCTCCAAAATAGTAGTTTCTTCTAGTGAATAGCTTTTTTGGGCTTATTCCCATTCTCCTTTCTCTTCATGTTCTTTAATATTTAGTACAATACATGATGTTTTCCTGGTATAAATTGTTAATATTTTTCTGTGTGTTCAGTTCTTCCATTTGTCTTACATTAGTGTATTCACTAAGCTTCATCTTGGCATTTGTCTTTTTTCAGATGAAAACAAACTTATTGCTGATGAATTGTATCAGAAGGTCAAAATACTCTGTTGGGTCATGACCGGGCCACAGAATCTAGAGAAGAAAGCCAAGCATGTTAAAGCCACTTGGGCTCAGCACTGCAATAAAATATTATTTATGAGCTCTGAGGAGAATAAAGATTTTCCAACCGTGGGTCTAGAAGCCAAAGAAGGCAGGGACCAGTTGTATTGGAAAACTATTAAAGCTTTCCAGTATGTACATGATCATTATTTTGATGATGCTGACTGGTTTATGAAAGCAGATGATGATACATATGTCATATTGGACAATTTGAGGTGGCTTCTTTCAAAATACAGTCCAGAACAACCAATATACTTTGGAAGAAGGTTCAAGCCTTATGTGAAACAGGGCTACATGAGTGGAGGAGCAGGATATGTGCTGAGCAAAGAAGCTCTAAAGAGATTTGTTAATGCATTTAAAACCAACAAATGTTCTCATAGCTCTTCTATTGAAGACCTGGCACTAGGAAAATGCATGGAGACTATTAATGTAGAAGCTGGAGATTCAAGGGACACAAGTGGTAAAGAAACTTTTCATCCCTTTGTGCCAGAACATCTCTTAATCCGAGGATACCTACCAAAGACATTTTGGTATTGGAATTATAATTATTATCCTGCTGTGGAGGTGCGTGGGTTTTTTTGTGTATGTTTTAGAAAACTTGGACATCATATAACACTACATTTGTTATATAGCTATACATTGATATTGTATGTTATAAGGTATTATATTTTATATAGTATAAAATACATTTTATATCTGTCGATTGATAGATGATTATGGGCTGTTGAGCTGCTTGAATTTCAGCATTTAAATTGTGTTGGCAAAACTATTTAATTGTGAGTACCTAAGATCAGCTTAATTCTACTCTTATATAAACTGTTAGTGAATCAAAACTGGAAGGGAAGAACCTAGTTTTCCAGAAGAATTCCTAAATCAAAAATAATTTTCTTCTGTTTTATTTTTAAAAAAATGAAGTTTACTGGTTAAATATTTTTCAGGATTTTGTTTTTTTTAGAGGTCTTTGCTTTTTTATAGAGAAGAGCATTTCCAGTTACCTTATGAAATGCTTGTCTAAATCAGCCAGCTGTAGAACCAGGAGGGATGTTAAACTTTCAGACACAAAGTTCACTTCATCATGTCTGGGAGAGGAAGCGAGTTCTTGCTTCCTGGATATTTGCCATTAAAAGGAGCTATCGCTGCCTTATGATGTTGTGCCCTTGCACAATTAGGGAGCAGTACTCTAGCTTAAAAGAAGTACTGTTACCAAAATCCTTATGATCACACACACTTTTTCTTGGACTTGCACAATGAGGACTTTTTAAATTTTATTCACAATTTGTAAAACACTGTAGAATTAAATAATAAATGCCTGACATGAGAGAGAGGCT